CGCCTCTGCATGCGCTACCCTCATATCCGTCCGCGTGAGGAGAAATCGACGGTCGCACGCCTCTACCGTACCGACCGGAAAAGTACACGTGTTGCACACGTGTGCGGACAGGCTCCCTCACACGTGTCTACGCCTCAGAGAGCCGGCAGCAGCGATGATCTCAAGATATCAGCAATAATGCTGCGAATGATATAGAAGAAATTGTACGCGCCGATGCCTTCAAGCACGGCACTGCTTTTGGTGCCTGTATCCAGTACACAGTTAGAGAACAAGCCCCACTCGGATAGATACTACCCTTCGAAGGGTAGTGTCTATCCGACCGGGGCTTGTCCTCATATGAGGACAGCTCTTTTTTTTGCAAAAATATATAAATGAAATTGAACATTTAAAAAGCTATCTTGGACTTTACTTCCTTAACGTACTTGACTTCGGCAGTATCATCCTGCAGAACGCCGGAATAGCAGCTTTGATGCTATCGCGGAAATATTAAGAGTGTAAAGCAGACATAGTGTCGCCCACAGTGGGCGAGTGGACTGGGCGACTCCGAAAAACACAAACGCAGTACCTAGTTCCCTTTTTAAACTGGCGTTTTTGGTTTCGAAGATATTTTTCATGCGGTTTTAGGGTGGTTTAGAAAAGCTTCTTTTCCACACATACTGCATCTAAAAACTACCAGGGAGAAAACGTAATTCTCACAACTTTCTTTCTGGCCCCATGGCAGAAGTCAAGTACGATGGCGGGGGCACCTTTTGCCTTTTCCTTCTTGTCGAGAAAGCGCAAGTTAAGAAAAAAAATATGTCGAAAAGTGTCCTCATATGAGGCCTCATATGAGAACAACGGTCCCATAGGCACTCTAGAGCTAGAAAGAACGAAGTGGTGAGTGAAAGTTTGGTACAGAATCAGAAAATAGGATGCTTCACAGACGGTATGCTTGTAGTACGGAGCCTTATTGTAGTACGTACGCAGAGACATGGAAAACGCCTAAAAGTACAGTAAGAGTGGGCTCCAGCTTTCCGCCCCGTTATGAAGAACCGATTGAAGGTTTATTTCTTCACACCAACACAAAGAAACACTCTCCAAAACCAAGCGTCTGGATTGGTCTGTGGCCCAGACCAATTTAGATCTATTCATTCTCCCATGGCAATTGTTCTTTAACTCCTAGTGCATTCACCTCATTACGGATCTCACAAGTGGGCACGTCAAAATAACTCCACGTCAATTGGTAGAGAACTAGAGACACGAGCACCGACCATCCAAACGTTTTCATGGAGCGTTTCCTTGCACCCTTTTACATTTGTCCTTTGATCCATGGCCTTAATGTCATTTGTCATGCCCTTTATAAAGCCTGAGAACAGCGAATAGATGGAAGCAATGTAGGCGAGATAGTTGGGGACCCAGGTGAAGGTTCGTGGCCTCTACAGTACATCATGCTCTGAGCGGCAATAAAGTCGATTTGCCGCCCAATGTACGTGGCCGAGTATAGAACTCAGTTGGCTTTGCGCCGAGGCTCTCCGGCGGAGGCCTAACGCCCAGCGGATTGCGTGCACCTACTTACTTCCCAACTCGGGAGCGCAGCTCGTCTAATTACCTGCCCGCGACTCTTGTAGTGTGCGACGTTTAGTGCCCCTCATGGCGTGGCCCGAGTTAGGCACCGTACCGGGGGCGTCTCCGCGTAAGGCGATCCAGAGAGCTACATAACCAAAAGTAAAGATAGCGCTCTCCGGCCATAGGCCGCCTGGCAGAGCGACCTAGCCCTCATCGAGCTTAGTGTCACCGCCCTCTCGAGCCTCGCCCCCCACTCGGATCCTATCTTTTGAGTGCGGCTTGCGTGAGTCGTCACACACGCGTATTGCAGTATACTCTTGTTGCACCTGCAAGGCAGGTTCAGGTGTTTAGCTAGGTCTAGATCCCGTAGCATATTTCTAGAGGCGCCATAGGAGACAGTAGGCCGATACTGGCGGGCGAATTATTTCTCGAGACACGCGGGGATCAGGAGACAGGAAGATCCCGAAGCGAAAGGCGCGGAGGTCTGGGGGCCGATTAAAAAAATGCCCCGCCCTGGAAAGAGGGCGGGGGGCATCACCATGCCCATCGACTTGCCAGGAGAGAGAAGCGGACGCGAGTTGAGTCCTCCCTTACCTTTCCCCGTCCTTTACATGCCACCACACTTCGCGCGTCGCACCAGAACCATCAACTCTCTTCTCTTTTTGGACGTGCATATGTCATCGTGGCTTTGGAGTCCGAAGATTGAAGTCACTTCAGAAAAAGAACATCGACTGCACTAAATTCATCCACTGCTACAATCCTCGACTGAAAAGTAAAACGATATTTCTGAAAACTGTTCTCACAATGATGTCCCCGAAAGAATCCTTGACAGAATACATCAACCCAAATCTAGATGCAGATATCCAAGACCTACTTCACGTATACAGTCTTCGTTTTCGAAAGGGGTAGCTATGGCAGGTAACCTTTTCAGTCCCCACTCAATGACTTGGAGGACAGCTGGATTGTAGTAGTGTGATCATTCCTATGTGAATAGAGAGGTAACAGCATTTTGCCTCGTTCGGAGTCAACTTTAGTTCAGAACATAAGAAAGTACGGCTCTACTATGTTAAAAGAGCACCCCGGCCACCTCTCTGCCTGAACCTCGCCATAGCCAAAGCGAGCTCCTTCTGAGCAAAAAGATCACGGCCTGCCGCAAAGAGATGCGTGGAGTAAACGCAGAACAGTCAAACAGCATCTGACTGTACTCTGTCTGGCAGTGGCTGGAAACTCAAACGGGAATGCAATTAATCCACTAACTTCATGAAAGCATCTGGCGAAGGTGCGAAAAGACAATGTTGAAAGCGGCGTCATACTGTACGAGGTCGCATGTCACAGCCGAGTGTACAGTGCACAGTACAGAGAGGATACTGTACAGTAGACGCTCACTACGGTAGAGTGTCTATCGGACCATGGCGCCACGGGGTCTGGGTCCGCCCTCGGGCAAGTTTTTAGTTTTGAGATGTGTATGTTTGAGGGCAAGGTCTTGTACTGGTAAACTACCTAAACACTGTCTGCTGTACAGTAACTATAAGAATCCCGAAAATACGCCGTAGATCGAGGAAGGCAGATGGTATTCATTCAGTGGAGAGCCGAAGTAGAAGGTAAATGGCCATCTTCGTTACTCTTCCTTACCTTCTATTGTATAGCACGTGCAGCGAAAGCATGTTATTCCTAGACATCCGTGTCTATAGCCGAGAAGCGATTTGCGCCATATGAGACTGGCTTTTCATGCAAAAACATCTACCTTAAATCGAAAGTTAAGAAGATCAATTTGGACATCGATTCTTTAACATACTTGCCCTCGGCAGCAACATCTTGCAGAACACCAGAAAGTCAGTTTTAACTACACCGAAAAATGAGGATCTAGGAGAGTTTAAGTAAGCAGCCGCCCTTTAAATGGGCGTGTTGAATTCGAAGCTATCACTTCAAAACGTTTTATAGTTGCTCAAAGAAGCTTCTTTGCATGCTATGCATTTCTAAAAACGATCGGGGAGGGCATCCAACTAGAACTAACATCTATCCTTTCCCGACATAGAATTCAAGTACGGCGAGGAAGGGAATTTTGCTCTGTCTCATGGAGTAAGCTTAAGTCTAGAAAAAATGGGTTGAAAAGCATCTTCAAGTGAGGTCACTTGTCATCTAGAAACCAGGAGCCCTCCAGAGGGTTGTACTCTAGCAATTTAAAGTGTACTTCGACGCGGTGACATTTGGTTGTTCACGACTGTACTGTGATACGCACGGGGGCGACATTTTATTGTTCACTCGATCACGACGTAGATAAGGAAGTTGAATGCTTTGTCATACTGTACTTGATTTATACGTTACAAAGCCTTCTTAGTTCCGTAAAATATTGCAGCGTTGCCATCCACGGGATATCAGAAGGAAACCTCCCGTCGCTTCTCACGAGCCCATTGAATATTGCTGTACCGTACAAAGGCTGACAGTTTATGAAGATCATGTGAGTGTGACTCATATCAGCTCTTTGAAAAGGAACTACAGTAGACGATGAATTCGTGAATGAAGGGCTGTCCAGGTGAGAAGCATTGCCAGACATTACTGATCAAACATAGCTGTAACACTGTAACACTGTAACACGAATTGGCAACCTTAGAGTAGGTGGATGACCTCCGGAAAACTCAGTGATAGAATGCGAAATGAGTACTGAAGTATGAATGCAACGCCCGTGCCGTTGTGCAATGATACCTAAAAATGGGTTTGTACTGGTACAGGTAGAGCTCTTCCACGGAGAAGATACGCTTCCTGTGCTACTGGCTCACTGCGATAGAGTATCAGGAATTTGATATTCCCGGGGACTACTTCCGTTGACACTGAGCAAAGGACTAGAAGTAGAGGTGGGCCGTAAACTTTATAGGATAACTAATATAGTACTGTACCAGGGTGCGGGACGCGGGCTGTGGAAGGCTCGGGTTCCTCACTTGCTTGTCAGGATGTGGCCCTATTTAAAGCTGTTAAGTATGATGGGTTGTAGCTCGGAAGGGCCATGTGGCTGGGTGGCACTGTATGGTTTGCGCGTTCGACCAAACCCATGTTGGTGTCCTGAGGCGAAATGTTTTGAGGCGTATTTGTTCCTTGACTGCAAAAGTTGGAAGGCAAGCAGATTTGACGGAGAGGGGTACAGCACAAAGGCGCACTCCGATATGTTTGTAAGCGGGCGTTTGTTGGGGGTATTACTGTCATGAGAGTGGAAAATGGGGGGGGGGGGGGGGGTAGGGGAAGTAGAACAGGCCACATTTTCCACTCTCGTACCTAATCGTTGGCGGAGCCCGTCGAAAAAGGAATGCATTGATTGTCGTGAAAATTTAAATGGCATGGTAAGTACTGTACTACTGTACTAAGGGGAGTAATTTAGCGATACGCGCGCTAATTGGCTGCAAGCATTCAATATGAGCCACATAAAAGGTGCTAAGCATTACAATGGCAGCTAGAGGGGGCAGCTGTCTCTCCTGATCGCAGTTTCTAACAGCGTTCACTTCAAGCCCACCTCCCCCCGCCACCCCCGCCCGCCCCCATGCCCGCTTGACACTGCAATACCGCCAAACTAAACACACCCTATTACAGTGCTTCCTGCCGTGCCTCGAATTCGGAGTCCATTCACCTACCCTTGCCCAGTCCTACCCTTTCCGGCCCTGCTTCCCTTCCTACCTCCTGACATTCACCCACGTTCACCGGGCAATCACGGTCAAACCACTCGTCACACGCCCACTTCATTCCTTTTCACCACTTCCAACCCCGCCGTGCAATCCCCCCCCCCCCCCCCCCCCCCCCCCCCCCCCAGCGCCTACAACGGTTCTACAACAGCGTTTGCAGGCGTTTAGCTCGACCACGTCCGCCCAACTTGCCGGATCGAGAGCGATGGGAAGAGGGAGTTCGAGCACTCAACCAAGGTCATCGCTCTTTTGGTTTGTCATCATCCTCGTCCCGGCAGCGGTCGTCGTTCTCCAATACGATGTCCTCTCGCTCGGTGTGCGCACCTCGGGCGTCGGACGAGAGTATGCGGCACAAGAGGTAGCAGGACAACAGGTGCCCCCCGCCCCTGTACAGGCGGTCGAAAGAACGAATACCGTAGCAAGCGAAGGGAATACGCCTTCGAGTTTGGACTCAACTCTTCGCGTCGGGGAGGCCGTTGCCAGCGCTTCTAGGACATGTAAAGGCGAGAAGCATGCCGTCGATGACGATGGCAAAGCTTGTATGCACGACTTGCAATGGGCCATTTCGCGCTCGCTCATCTACGTCGCCGAGAAGCAGCCGATCAACTATATGGTGTGCGCCATCCCGAAGAACGGTTGCACGTACCATCTCGCGATGATTAATCGGATTATGGGGGAGGAGGAATACGAGGCGACCGGGGTGGTTCACGACATCGAGCGGAAGAGCGTGTACAAGCTTGCCGCTAGGGACACGCCGACGGTGGCACGCATGCTGTCCAACGCTTCGATTCCCAAGTACCTCGTGGTGCGCAACCCGCTGCAGCGGACGATGTCGGCGTATTTGAATAAGGTCGAGACGTTTGCTCCGGAGAACGAACGCACGGTGGAGAACTTCCATAAATGGATCTACAAGGAGTTTCCCAAGGGCTTGCCGGTTGATCGCTCTTGGTACGGGATGAACCCGCACTGGATGCCGCAGATGCAGTTCTGCGGGTTCAAGACGCGTGATGTTCACTCGTACTTCAAGGTGTTCAAGGTGGAGAAGCCGAAGGAATATGTGGACTACATGTACAAGATTATTCCGGACGAGTACATGCGAGACGGATGGGCCAGCTCAGAGAATCTGAGCTTCCGGGATCATGTGCTGGGACCAAGAGCGCGAACGGAAGGTACGACGGACAAGTTTTATAAGTACTGGAACAAAATCGAGGTGTTCGACCACATGACACGAGTGCTGAGTTGGGATATTGAAAATCTGGGGTACAACGAAGAGGTGGCAAAAATGCGGGAATCGTTAGTGCAGAGGCTGGGTTGAAGGAAGAAGATACGGTCGGTTAAGGTTTTGTAAAGAGTTGCGGTAACGAAGTTGGAAGCTAAAAACTGAAGGGGGTGAGAAGAGTGGATTACAAGCGTAGTTCAGATGTTTTTCATATAGTGGTTGTGGTACTTTGGTAAAGGATTCCGGTCTAAGGCTATATGGAAAGGTGCTTCCATGAGGTTAGGCGCGGGGGCGATGCCGGCGAGATGGGAGCTCAATGTGGGCAAGGTCTGGGGCGAGTAGTGAGGCCGTATACTGCCGTGGGTAGAGCAAAGGGTACATACATACTGTAGCACGTGGGTACAGCGAGGCCTTTCTGGATGATGGAGGTGGGAGGGATTGAGAGAGGGGGAAGGCCGGGGGGGTGGGAGC